CTGCTTAATCTTCACTTGAAGCTAAAGTCATGGTGTATCCTCGTACGACAACGATCACTTTGTATCTTCTTACGTAACTAATTTGTCATTCAAAGCACTTACTTGTAATTGATCCTTAATTATTCAAATTGGCGCGTTTTATTGATGCTCAGATTTTTTGAGCGCTCGCTCACTTCACAACGTAGGGCATCTCCTCTTCTAAGCTGAATATTACTTTACAACAGTATTACTAAATATATGCCTATACAATGTGATACCATTTATTTATAGTATCTAATACTATCTGATATTATAGTTTGCATACAAAATAGTTTGCTTCGATCTTATGCAATGCTATACATGTAATACATAATTATTATGCAGTATACTGATGTCATTTGATACTATTTACTCTACTGTTTATTAAGTGGTGGTGTAGAGGCAAATGGCGTCCTAACAAAATAACAAAATTTCTATATATAAGTTTAAATCCATTTTCCAAAGTTTTCTATTTATTTTTCTATTTGAAACACAGAGTACAATGAATATAAAACTCAAAAGTTTTGATAAACTAGAAAAGATTGAGGGAAATGTGGGGCTTTTAAATCAATTTAATATTAATCTTTTAAATTTATCAACAAAATTGAATCCTAGAATAATAGATCTTATTATAACATTGCTTTGTTTAAAAGTTGTTTATCTATCGAATACGGGGATAGAATCCCGGAACGATACACGTCCAAGCCAACCAAGCTTCCTATCTCTTTTGGACGGTCAATTGGTATAAGCGTGGCCTGGGAGGATGAAACCCTGAATTGCACATCGGCCGGTAGCGGCAAGTCATTGTATACGCTACATACGCATACAATACGCCACTACGATTCCGAATTGAAGTCGAATGCCGGGGCGCATTACTTGAACGGCATTTATTTATGCTCAATGATTTAGACTTTATACTGTATATACCACTACCAATACCAGTTTATACAAGTCACCTGAACCATCTTATACTAACTGTTAAATGCAATATGTCTATTGACAAACTAAATTCTTCTTTTTATCTTTATCCTTTCTCTCTGTTATTCAGCCCTTTAGTTAATTCTAATAATTTTCATTGTGGTCCTCCAGAGCATGGCCGTCGAACGTATTTTGTAGTCTGAGGTGAGGTAAGTTAGCCAAGGCATTAAGGAAAGTATAGGCGAGATCCATCAGAGAGCTTGCCCTTTGCTATGTGTGCTATCAAATTAGACATGGCTGGCTTCTGAGAATGAGGAATAACTCATCTAATTACATATTGCGTTAGGTCTCTCGGTTTTTCTAGTCACTTTTTCCGCTTTATTAGCCAAGTATATCTGAAAGCAGCACTCACGAAAGAAATAGTCTTATCATAGGATACGCCACGTTCTCGACCTTAAAATGAAATCATGACGAAGTTTTTGATTATTTACATAGCCTGTGTTTTTATCCTGTTACCAATCGATCCATCCCAAATGAAAGTTTTACCATGACTTGACTAGCTTTAGCCGGGGTTTTTGAGTCTTGATCCTGATGTCGGGTCAAGAAGCAAAGGAAGCGCTCTTTTTCACTGCTCCTGCCCAAACTGATTACCTTAAATTGGTTGATCAACGTGTCTATTAAGTCCTTCCAATAGTATTCTGTTCAAGTGAATTCCACAATTTAAATGAAAGTAGAATAGCGAATGTGAAGCATCCTCTTCACCCCACGGACTCCGCCCACTAACCACATCCCTCCCACTGGCGAAATGTTAGCGATGAAGCAGTTTTTGTATTTATTTAATTGAATAGTGTCTTGGCTTCGATCACTTCTATTCTATTTTCTAACTTTTATACAAAACGACTGATCATTATGGCAATCAGACAACTCAGGACGCAAGCTTCACGGGATTTTTGGAGGACACATCTCATACAAAGCTCCCATTCTTAATAATAATGACCTCAACTACTCACTTCTAATCCCTTATTACCGCTCTTTCTAATAGAATGCTGCTATTGTTGACGCTAGATTTACTTTTGCAGTAGAAATTATAGACTCCCACTTTTATAGTAATCTCATCGTAGGAGCTGGGGAATTCATGTTCTCTGTTCGCCAATAATTACGATGGTCATTTGAGCTGCTGATTGCTCATTAAGGACATCTAATGAATAAGTGATGAAAAAGCGGTTCATCTAGTCCATGATCGCCTAGTAGGAGTACCCAAGCTTCATCTAATTCAGGCCTCTCTCCCATGTTGGCAAAAGCAGATAGGAAGTTAGAGGTTGAGTTTGTGAGGCAGTCAAAAGCCTTATTCGCTCTGACGTGATCTGCTTGATAGCGTCCCATCGTAGTCAACCAAGCCACTCATCATTTTCAGATTCGTGGGTGGCTTTTAGAAGCTAACTCATTATGATTTTGGTAGTAATCTTGCCTTCATCAATCCTAGGAAAGGAAACCTTTGATTGCCCCGGGCACGACTCGATCCTACCAATCACTACGTTTCGATTCTGTGAGCCTAATATGCCTAAGTTTGCTTCGATTTTGGAGTAAAGTTGTACATAGGTGGAATATATGAGTCATAGGATATGCCAAACTATCCATTTCATCACTTTACCTTCGTTTTATCACGACATATAGCTGACTACGTCATCGTGACTCACCTCTTTTACCTTCTCCTCCCACAAAAACTTTTCATGATGGTGTTCCATCAGCACGTTCATTTACTACAACACCCACGTAGCGGTTTGCGATCAGATATTAATATACTTTCCAATGAAACCTCGGCATTGAAGCATGCTGATGTGATTCGACTTGGCCGCTGCAACGCCGAATCACATTCGTCCACATCACTACGGCTGTACGAGCTGGGATTACGGCCAGTCAGTGTGGGCACTGGGTAGTAGAGGGTCAGGTTCCCTGATCCGTCCTGGTACCCTCATCCGTCGGTACAGGACGACCCAAGGGGTAAACCACTGTAGTTGTTTGGTTCCTTCAAGTTTTTGACTGCTCTCCTGTTTCTCTTGTTTTCCTTCATTTGATTCGCTGACTCCCTTTTTTCAGTTTTTCCCTCGTTCCATTCATTGAAAGTATTTCCTTTTCTTGTTCCATTTCCTCCAATCATTTTTTTNACCATCGGTTCCCTTACTATCTACTTGATACAATATTTTTTTTTATTTTTATTTTTCATTGATTGGTTCCAAATATAGAAGATAATTGTTCACAACAAGTGTCTGGAATAGTTTGCTACCAAACGTCTTATGAGTGCCATCGTTAAAACGTTCCCATGGGAGAATGCACATGATGTTTACTAGCTTATTAAAAGAAGTTGTACAGCAGTTAGTCGATTCTCCTTCCAGCTAACCACTAAATTTCGCTTTGGAATTCAACTTTGATATGATCAGTGGGTCTGAAAAAATGGTGAGTTGATCGAAATATGTAATGCGCCATACATAACCCTTCCAATTAGTGTCGTCAATGTAATTGAATGCGCATTCTGCTCATGCAATGGTTCAGGCTTATTTGTTGTACATAGATTTGATTTTTATCTTTAAAAATTTTGAGTCCTTTTGAATTTTAATAATTAGGTCATTTATCCCACAACACATTGTTTCCCTCCGTTTATAATTTCTGTCATAGTTTCCAGTCAGTTCTATTCAGTATCAATCCTTCATCTATAAAGTTTTGGTTAGCCTCACGCCTCCTCACGAACGAGGGTTTTTTGAATATAAATGTCCCTTATTTCATTGGCATCCTAATTTTTAGAAGTGCTAATTGACAATTTTTTGAATATAAGGTAGAAAAATTGGTTTTTTTTTATTTTCCACATTATTTTCTCATCAACTAGTAACGTCAATGGAAGAAAAATGTAAGAGTTTAGCGTCAAGTGCCTTATATACCCATCGTCTTCAGGGAAATCTGATTTGCGATCGAGCTAAAGCCTCGAGTCTTAATTCCTTGTAAACGGAGCAGTAGTGACCTTTAATGCTTGTATTTTGGCTTCATGTTATCAGTCATCTGGAAATATTTTTCAGCTTGATTTGTTTCACTCAGTTGCAGAACTGAGTCTTTCTGAGTAAACCATTTGTTGACATTCCTAGCCAACATAAGACTTGGGGGAGGAACTGGGGGCCATGTTTCCGGTCTACAAGTCTCCCTCGTTCTTTTGAAAAACGTTTCGTTAAAATTGGAGGTTTGATTCCCGTGAGTGCGTAAAATATTTCTGTTGTTTTTTTTCGATTTTGAAGTTTTTTGATGTTAAAATAAATAATGAAAATAATTTTTAATTTTCATTTTTCAAGACTCTGACAGAAGGATTCTTGTAATCCATCACGACTTCGGAATTCATTTATAAACCCATCAAGACTCGAGTGAGTCACTGAATCATTCATAAATGAATGCTAGAGCCGATAAATTAAAGATTTCTCTGAACGAGTCCACTGAATGCGCAAAAAAAGGACGAGTTCTGACGAATGCAGAGGTACATACAGAGAAGGCGTGATTCGTGTAAGAGGGAGCAGCAGCAATCAGTGACTGACTCAGCCAACCTGAAATGTCGTAGACAGGTCATACAGGGGCGGTACCAATCCAAGAGGGGACCTTCACTTTTCAATTCATTTTATGCATACTTCACTGAAGCCACTTTACTACTTCACCACATTTATGAATTATGGGACCATAAAGAGAAGAATAGGCAAGCCATCTTGGACCTGGCTAGGAGCCATCTACATATACTGACCAACGAAATGTATAAATCACCGTAGAGTCTCAGTACTCTCTCACCCACGTGATATCCTTCCTGAATCTCCACATATCTCATCCTTACTATCTTCACAACAATAATTTACCCACCCGTTGTATCGTGTCTTATATCTTTGAACTTTTCTTTGCCAAATTCCCTCTGATTTTTCCAACATTTTTGACTTATTTGCGAGTGATATTGACTGTTTAGCATTTCCTAGCCGAAATTGTGTATTGATATCGTTGCTGCTTTACTTTGAATTTGAATAATTCAGATGTATTCGCCCATCATGCGACGAAGTGTACGGCGTCTGCCACGGACTCCTGAACCCTCGCCACGTGGACATCGACGAGTCCAAGAAGTGCTGAGCGACGATCCGCTCAGGTACGTTATACTATTGTATTTGTTTGTTTACTTTTCGTCGTCTCGATCGTATTCCTGTTCACCGCTCGATCACATTGAATGGAGTTGTGAATAAAGAGCTTTCATGTATGCACATTGATTGTATTTGAACGTTTTATTTGGTTATATTATTTGATGAATTGTTTGGACCTAATGACCGCTTCGCTTTTGAGCTCAATTCAGTCAT